AAGCATGGACTGTACTCATCTGTTTCCTTCCCACTCGTCTTTCAGAGTGGTGCTCGTTTATCAACGGCGGAAGGAAGAAAAGCGAGTGAGCGCGATCTGCACTCGAACTCAGGACCTCCCGGTTCTGAGTCCGACGGTCTACCGACTGAGTAACCCTGGTTTGAAGCAGCGAATCATAAATTTCTTGCTCAAGAACATTCTTGGAAAAGACAAAAATGACCGCACTCGGCACATCGAGAACTTGAGTTCGAAGCCGACCTCAGACTGTGCCACGGTACGCTGCAGCACTTGAAAGGTGATGACTCTTGAGGGCCATTCCCTACTGACGATGAAGCTGACTCTTTCAACGGTTTTCGGGTCTTCTCTTTTCTCATCTTGATGATGTTGCCTTCCATCCATTTACCAGTTAACTCCTTACTTTGCGTTTCACAAAGACCGCGTACTTGGTAGGTTATCTTTTACTTCTTTGCAATTAGATGGCTGATCAATTCTTTCCATGCCAATGTCCTGTCGGTGTAGGTACACACTGCGAGCGAAGTCCGTATCCGTTTTCCTTTTAGAGGCTTGGTACTTGTGATTCGTTGCAGCCACAGTCGATGTGACCGCCGCTGTGAAGATGTCTGATGGACATTTACGATGCTGAGACCCGTTTTCATGTGTTCTTGTAGCTATTATAATAAGCGACCTGCTGGATCGGTTGGCAACGGCTTGTTATATTTTAGGAATTTTGTTGACTTCTAGCTTCAGATAACGTACATCAGTCTCTTTCGAGGGTGGTAGCACGACAGCTTGACAGCGTAGATCAGGAGTCGGCGAACCGGGGTAAATTACCCGAAGTGGATGTAAAACTGAGATTCTTCGGGGTAATGACAACTCAATAGGCAAAAGCAAAATTGTGTAAAAAGCGCATACCTTTTTACGACAGACATTTTTCTTCTGGCAACTGCATCTGGCCAATGTAATAGACATGCTTAGGAGACGTCACGCCGTTTTGAACTCCAATCAGTTTGGCTGCTAAGGCATTGTCAAGTTGTTAAACAAATATTTTCAGTTATCTATTACTCGTCTTAATCTTATTTTTTGACATGTGTTTCTGCTTTGTTTAGGTCTGTTTAAGTAGATGCCTAATTTAGTTTATTTCAATAGTTCTATTTTAAGTCTAAAATTTTTATTTATTAACCATAGTCTAATTTTGTTAGTTCGATAATTTGATTAACATATTTTCTTTATCGAAAGCATATTTTTGCAGATAAGTTTACGAACTCCTCGTAGGTTGCACATCTCGCATTTTTAGCTGATATTTTTGAGCATGTGAATGCATTGAACAAAGAATTGCAAGGAAAAACATCAATATAATTTCAGCCAGAGGAAAGATTAAAGCGTTTGGATCAAAGCATTTATACTGGCAGAGCAAAACAATATGGCTGCCTTTTCCGAGTTATCTTTGTTTTTGGAAGATTAGGAAGATATTATTTTTGACGATATCACCGATGCAATTATAAGGCATCTTACCAAACTCAAAGAGCGGTACTCTGATCACTTTTCAGATCTTGATTCACATACTGTCAGTTGGGTTGTAGATCCCTTTAAATGTGAAGTTGCTGATCTTCCAGAAGAGCCTCAGTGGTTGACAGACGCTCTTTTTGAACTTCGATCCAATAATTAAGCATGTATTGAATTTGAAAACAAAGCGATTTGTCATATTTTTGATGTTAAGAGCTGCAAAATCTTTCAAAATTGCATATGAGGAGGCAGTCAAAAAGTTGCTGCCTTTTCCAAGAACCTACCTTTACGAACAAGGATTTTCCACTGTGACGAACATACAAACAAAGCATAGAAATTGCTCGGACCCCAAGGATAGTATCCAAATTGCTCTCATATCAAAATGCCCCAATTTTGATGTTATTGTATCAAAAATGAAACAACATCAAACCTTGAAGTGAGAAAGTTTTCAAAGAAAGTCTTTTGTTTCATGATGAGGATATTAATTTATTTATCGCATTTAATATCTTTTATATTTATAATTGTATTTCATGTATAAATAGATTCAGTGAGCCTTTTGAATTTAAATAATCGATGATTTTCTCATTTCCAAATCAAGGAGATTAATGTCGGTGCAAATAAATATATTTAGGGTAATAGGTAAAAATGTTCTCCTACGCCTAGCGTAGATGAGCCTGCCGAAAAATGCACGGCATTCTCATCGATGACCATCATCCAGGGCCACCACGGAGTCGCTTTGCAGCTGATGTTTTTTACCCATTGAAGCATAGTGTCGAGCATTTCAATCAATAACAAATTGATTGTGATCAGCCTAAATTTGCAGACTAACCGATCATTTTCAAAAGGAAGGAAATTATTGAGATTTCGATTGAACTTCGTCATACCAGCGATACGTTGCCTGAGGCTTCAAAATCAGTATACAGTCAAATCCGGTTTACGTTATAAGACTGCTTTGCAATAATGGCGCCAGCTAGATTTACGTGATGTTGGGTTAGCTTTATACAAAAGAATCAGAGGTGATTCTAAACTCGTAATTTATTACCTGTTTTCGAAGGATTTGTATGAGTCGTCGCTAAGTGGGAAATGCATTGTAATTTAATCTTTAGATGCGCAGTGTGGATTTGCTGCATACCAGAAACCTTGCAATATAATAACTGTACCGCCGTTTTCTCATCTGTAGTAAATTTTACATATGCTAACCTTATTATCAGTTCTATATATCATAAATACGTGCCCAATTCTGTGAAATAACGTAAACAAAACCATAGGCTGGTCTTCGGTCCTTGCACAGGGTGTTCCTGTTTTAGTTCGTTTCATTATTTTTGCAACTGTCAGTTCTGGCAAGTTTTGTTGTGACTGGCAAATAAGCGTGCCTGACCACGCATTTTTACGTGGTATGAAGGTTACTACGATACTGAAACGAACCAGACTACTCACGTTTGGCTCCATACATGTTTGTTCGTGATCCATTTGTTTTTGATGTTAGCTAAATATACTTTACCATTTACATTACAATTAATTGGCTTAAAAGCACAGCACTTGTAGTGTCCTTAAATGCACATGCTTAAGTCTCATTTGTCTTCAGTGTTTCGCTTCTCGAACAAACGAATTTTGTTAATGTTCATGCAATAGAAGACTTAGCAGATATTTTCATTTTCTTAGAATTCTCTAGTATTATTTTGATGCTTGACGCAGACGGTGCATGGTCTTCTTTTACCGGGTGTTCGCCTGATTCTACTTGACTATCTTGCATGCTGTAGACAGTTTTGTCAGGTTATTGTGTAAAAAGTAGTCTTGGATATTTGTTTTGATGTTTCTGTGATCTGCAGAGATTCTTATCTTGGACAGTTGTATAAGTTCAACATCGTTTTTTTGGTTTTTTATCGCTGCCTTGCACGTCAATATGATATTAGCATCGGTAATGTGGCGTGATGGTAAAGTGGGTAGAAGGTCGCTTTGAACTCTGGAGGTGCCGGATTGAAATCCGCTCAAGCGATAGCCTTTGTCTTTACCACAAATTCCCTTCAGCAAAAGTCAAAGTTAAACCGTCGTTGCTTCGGCGCAACCAGCCGAGAAACGGATAGTAAGTCGATGAATTGCGAAGAGCACGG